ATATATATATATATATATATATGTATATATATATAAACCGGGTTTTGGAAAGAGTTCCATGTGATCTTATTCGTTGAGTAGATCAAACATTTATCACTTTTAATGAATTTAAATAATTTTATTTAAAAATTTATCCGATCCTGATATATTTTTTTGCATATCTTCTTGATACCATACTTTCTGCAAGTTTTATCAACAACCATATATCTTAAAGTTGAATCCAAATTTCTGTTATCATAAATGAAGTTTAATCATATTGAATTGTTTGCGTAAAGAGGGTATGAAGTGTATACTTGAAGTTGTTTTTATGCACAATGGAAATTAGGTATAGAAGGAATGTTGCTAGTTTAATCATTAGTGTGCTGCATTTTAGTTTTAAGCCATATAAATCTGGTAACCAAATACCCCCATAGGTAATGTGGGAGAATGTAAATTTATGAGAATGTAAATTTATGGATCATCTCTTAGAGTATCAATCATTGTGACTTCAAGGAGGATGAGACCAAATAAATAACTGTAAATTAAATTATAGGACCTTTCCTAAGTAAATCAAATGTATCTAAGTTGATAACCATCTGTTTTTTTTTTAATACAGAAAATATCATATTAATAACAAGAATAATAAATATATGATCTTGAATAATTTAATTTAGAAAATAATCCGACCATGTTAATTTCTCTGGCTATCTATCTGCTTGATACCGTACTTTCTATAAATTTACTAATAACTATATATTTTCAAGTTGAACCCTAAGCTTTGTTCTCTTGAGGAATTTAATCATATTGATTGTATGCTTAAAGTGGGTTTGAAGTGTATACTTGCATGTGTTTATGCGCAATGGCAATTAGATATACATGGAATGTTGTTATTTTAATCATTAGTTCAGCTAGCTGTTTCATTTCTTCTATTGGTTTCTTTTGCTCATATCAGTATTTGTTTAGTCATTTCTAATTTAGTTTGCATTTATTGCTATTGTTGTTGACAGTATCTGTTAATACATTACTTATTTTACATCTTGTGCTAGAAGCTATCCATTTATTAAGCGTCAAAAGTCTTTCATAGGTTTATGAACGCATTAAAGCACCTTTACTCACACTAGTGAGTTCCGGTAGCCCTGAACAATCATACGCCGTGTTGAGCCACTTACACCTATTAGTGATGCGAGCTCCGATTTTGTTCTCTTCAGACTACAAACACTTCTACTGTCAGTACAGCGAACCATCATATGTGCAAAAGTTGAAACTTGAGATGTTGACTGCCATAGCAAATGAGAGCAATACCTATGAAATTGGTTAAGTACCATCGACAAAAATTGTTTTAATGAAGCAGCTATATTCCTAGCCATTCCTAATTATGCTTCATTTTTGTGCCATATTGATTTTTTTTCCTTTTTTTTTCCATTTTCTTTGTTTTTTGCTCTATTCTGTTTCCTCAGTGACTGAGCTTTGTGAATATGTTGCAAATGTTGATATTTCTATTTCAAGGGAGTCAATCAGGGCAGTTGGAAAAATAGCATTGCAACAATATGATGTTAATGCAATTGTTGATAGGCTTCTTCAGTTCTTGGAAATGGAGAAGGATTATGTGACAGCTGAAACACTTGTAAGTTTCGATTGAGGAGGGATTTTATTTTTGGAGTATTGTTACTTATTTTCCAGGAGTGTGCGATTAAGTTCTGGATGCACTGAAATTAATTAAATTTCTGTTTTTTGGAACAATATACAGGTTTTGGTGAAAGACCTTTTGAGGAAATATCCTCAATGGAGTCATGATTGTATTGCAGTTGTTGGAAATATCAGTAGCAAAAATGTCCAAGAACCTAAGGGTAAAGCAGCTTTGATATGGATGCTTGGAGAATATTCCAATGATATGCTTGATGCTCCTTACATTCTAGAAAGTCTTCTGGAGAACTGGGATGAGGAGCATGCCGCTGAGGTAATTGGTTTCTTGATGGTGTCTTCTATTATAGAAAAATTGACTTGGGCTTGATTCTGTTTCATTGCTGATATTAATATAAATTTGTTGCGATTATTTTCATTAAACAAGCCATTCTGCCCAAATTGAAGTCTCCGTGTGTGGCATAAGAAATTATTTAATGTTGTTCTTCAGAACTTCTGCTTGATTTTTACGTGTTCTGGGGTATCTTACGATTATGACACTTTATCTTTTGCATTAGTTTGTGTTCTTCCTGGCGTCATTTTCTCACTGTTCATTTTATGGATGTTCCAAACAGGAATTCTTGAAAGAATATGTTCAGTTAATGTTATGAAAAGCTTAAGGAAAAACTTATTTTTCCTCGTAAACTTCTAATTTCAAATTTACCATTAGTAAAATTATGTTTTTAATGTATTGCAAAATGTGTACTTGTTTTTTTGGAGCCTAAATAATTCATTTGTAAAGTCAGCATCAAATTTATATATAGCGGTAATGGCTATTTATAACTATTTTTTTACTCACTGGGCTCTAAAATAATTTGAGGTGTCATTATTTACTTCTACCTGCTCTGTTCTATAACCAAACACTGTGGGTTTTGAAGTTGAATGCGAAAAAGGTTCATTTCAAGCTGTTGCCTGTTGAAGAAAAATATGCGGTTTGCTTTTGCCATTAAGGCTTTATTTGGGGCAGTCACAGAAGAAGTTGTTGTTCAAAAAGTTATGGTGACTAATATAAATTTGTTTTAATTTCAAAAAGTGTGACCACGGCTCTCTGATAGCCACTTACAAAAAAAACAAATTCCTATCATAGAAATTTCTAAAAAGTAGCAAGAAAATAGTTTCTTAAACAGAACTGTGGTGGCGGTCTGAAAAACAAAGCAGCCAGAAAGTTGTTCCAAACAAACCTAAGTCTACCGAATACTCTAGTATTCTGAGTGGATTTTCTTTTTAAAATGGGAAATATATGTACTTACTTTTCTCTTATTCAAAATATACCCATTGGAATCATACAGGATTTTCTAACCTGCAAATGAAACCTATTACCTTTTTGTTGTTATCCTCTAAATTGTTGAAGCTAAATAATGGAGTGGATTTCTTACATGGAATCATATAGTTTAGGTTTCTGTCTTTTATTATCTAGCGATGTCATTTTTGGGTGCTAATTCTGGTTTAATTTTTCTTTTGTCCAATCTTCACCATGTCCGAACAAGATGAATTGATTTCCCATACTCTTGGTAAAAGTCTGTAATGTTCATGTATTTAAAGGAACAAACAGCTCAAGGAGAGGAGACTAGGATTATCCTTCAACTTCCAGTATTCGGTTTTGAGCAATATTGGAATTTTGAGTTCTTTTCTTGAAGCGTTCTATGCCATTAAGAAATCCAGGGACTGGTAACTTTCACTGATTATTGAGGAGCAATTTCATTCAACGTCATGACTCAATTTTCTCATAATTAGTTGATTTCTTTTAATAGTTCTTTGATTTGGTTATCACAATAGTTATCCAGGCGTTTGAACACTGAATGATTACTTCAAAATTTATATAAACCAATCCTCTTGTCATTTTGAAGGTTCGATTACATCTTTTGACTGCAACAATGAAATGTTTCTTTAAAAGGCCTCCTGAGGTACAGAAGGCCTTGGGTGCTGCATTAGCAGCTGGCTTGGCTGATTCTCATCAGGTACAATTCTTTTATCATCAATGAGAAGTTTGGAATATTTTATTGGAGCTTGTATGCGTTTTAGAGCATTTTGTGTTATTTCTTTTTTTTTTTGAACAGTTTTTTTTTTGTAGGATGTTCATGATAGAGCCTTATTCTACTACAGGCTTCTGCAATATGATGTATCTTTGGCTGAACGTGTTGTAAATCCACCCAAACAAGCAGTTTCAGTTTTTACTGATACCCAGAGCAGTGAAATTAAAGATCACATATTTGATGAATTTAATACCCTCTCGGTTTTATATCAAAAGGTATTTTTCATCTTTATTGACCTGAATTCAACCTTTTTGAATTTTTTACTGAAAATGGACCTTGAATCTGAAAAGAAGTATTTTCATTTAGTTCTTGTGCTACAATTGCGTATTCTATTTCTTTTGATTTTTTTTCGATTTGATAAAATCTATAATATTACGTTATTTAGTGCGATGAAATCATAGAAATATGAAAAATATTATCTTAGGAGTGAGAGTCTAAATAAGGAGCTTTGCTTGGATAACAAAACGAACAAAATTGCGAAATAAAAAGTATCCTATAGATTGATGTGAAAGTGAGGATATGTCAGCTTTAATAAAAGGTGTTTTAAAGGCAGAGGGCTAGGATTGAATGTGAACCCTTTTAAGTCTTCGAAGGAGACGTGAGATTTTGGAGCATTTGTTTGATTGACAAATTTTTTATTGAATTATAAAAAGATAATTCGTTACCATCATCATTGGATCTATTCACACTAATTCGTTTTCCTTAAGCTATTCTTTTTATTTTATTTATTGTTTTTTTGGAAGTTTTAACTCATGCGTATTTTTTTGCACCATTTCTATTAATGTTAAACTTTGATTTAGTCTTTTTTTCTTTCTAATTTTCCATATTAACTTTATCTTGCTATTTTTATTGGTGTATTTATTTAGAATGTCTTTTTTTTTGGTGAAATAAAATTTAAAATGTCTTAGGATTGAGAACAGATGTTGAATTTTGTATTACAACTAAATCTTCCTAATGTTGAAATCCTAAATTCTTTTAGAACCTATAGCAATTAAATGATGCCGATGTTGAAGTTTCCACTAATCAATTTTTATAGTTTGTAGTCTTAGAAACCAACAATCAAAATAAACACTTGTTTTGATGAAAATAAGAAAATACGAATAATCTGTCCAAATAATAATTTAGTGATATTCTAGATTAAACAAATTTAACAAGAGCATTTAAACCATAAAGTAGCAATTTGATTAAGATTCATTGTATAATCAGAGATCCAATTGTTATTAAATATGACTAAATTCGATTCCATTGTGAAAATCAATAGTGAATTATGTAGTCGAGAAGAAAAAGAAAGATATCTCCAGGCAAAGAAATCCAAATTCCATGCTTGTATAAGGACATCCGCTAGAAACTGGTCTACGAATTGCACTTGAATGATTTAGCATCCAGTCGAGCATACCAAATTTAGAATTGTTTCTTAATGACTTAACATTTATAATTATCGATATTATGGTAATGGTTTGCTATTAATTGGAAAGAGTTGGTCGCAAGCTTATCATATTTGAACAGACAGAAGATTATCAAGTGAAACCCATCTAGCAAGAAAGTCCAAATCACATTCCAATGATTATGCTGATCACACTACAATTCTAACTACTGAAAACATTTATGTGGAATGAAAGATGTTGAGGATCACAACTAGTGGACTCACTATATTATTTATAATCAGATCAATAGAAATGAATCAATCACTAATTCTGGCTACATTTAACATTGAAACTTGTTAAAACCCTAACCTAATGAAACCAAGGACTCAACTTGTCTTCAGCCCTAAACTAAAAACCAAATGACTATGCAATAAAATAACAAGTTTATTCTAATGAGTGTAAAATTGTCGATCTCCATTAAATATATGTTCGAATAGAAAAATATTTGGCTCTAGCAAATTTAAACTTTGATATCCATCACACAAATCAGGGCATACCTATTGTGCTTCTTTTAATGCGACCTTGGCATCATCACATGTTGGTTTGTCATAGTTACTTGTTTCTTACATTTAATCTCATAAGTGTTACAACCGACAATTTTCTTATCAATTTGTGTACACACACATACTTTTTGTTCAAATTGGTAGTTGAATCCTAATTTTTATAATTGAAAATTAATTTTTGGTGAATATCTTCATGCACTTCATGTATGTGGAGTTCAAATTCAATATGCCTAAACTCAACATGAAGTTTAAGACTCTCTTTGTTGAAAACTGATAATTATTTCAAATGGACAAATGCTTGTAGACCTATTATTAGCTAAATTGTTTGCAAACAAAGCCATATGTATTATCAAACCCCGACTAGACAGATGCTCTTTAATTAGTCAGATCAAGAAATCACCCAAATTTTTAGAGTGCTTGAATTTATCAATTAACTTTGGGTGGTTAATATTGAAAAATTATAAGTGAGTTGTCGTCTTTTATCTCATAATTTTACATATATAGCAAAATAATGGCTAGGCAATCCACACAATCTAATCACCCAATTAAAAAAAAAGTTATCAATGTGGGAAATATCATTAATTTTCTTATGTGAAATGATTAGGTCATTTTAAAAAAATGATCTACCACGAGCTCTTCTCTAACATCATTATTTTTCATATGTGATTGTCTATTTCTTCCGCTGCTCCCTCTCAATGAAAGATATCACCCTCTTGTTTGGACAATTATATGTAATGTGACCAAAACTATAAAATTTGGAGCATTTCTTGGTTGTGAAATGTTCAAGCCATTCTAGAAAAGCGATCTACCACGAGCTTCTCTCTAACATCCTCATTTTTCTTGTCACCGGTCATTTATTCCATTGTTCCCTTCTCAATGAAAGACCCTCCTGTTTGGGCAATCAGATCATCCTCATTATGTGAAATGATTAGGTCATTTTAGAAAAATGATCTAACACGAGCTTCTTTCTGACATCGCCATTTTTTCTTATGTTACTATCCATTTTTTCTGCTTCTCCTTACTCAATGAAAGAAACCACCCTCTTCTTTGGGCAATTAGATCATCCTCATTATGCTAAATGATTAGGTCATTTTAGAAAAATGGTCTGCCAAGGGCTCCTCTCTAACATTCTCATTTTTTGTTATGTCACCATCTATTTCTTTCATTGTTTTTTGCTTAATGACAGAGATCACCCTCTTGTTTGGGCAATCAGATGCAATGTAATTTTTGTGAGATGAAAAAAATATTCTTTTTCAATTTCATAAGAAATGATTACAAGATAAATATCAAGGAAATGCTACCAAATTAGGAAAGCCACAAAATCTCCATGCTAGAAAAAGGAAATAGAAATAAAAAAATACGAACAATTTAATATTATAAAAATAGAAAATACTAAAATATAATAATCTTAAAATTCCGACACCTCTCTTAAGTTGCAGCATAGATATTTATCATGCTATTGTCGTTATTACGCTTCTAATGCTGTTTAATTTGCTCTGTTGTATCAATTCAATTAACTATAAGTGGTTGTTGGACAATCAATAGATAAATAAGGGCAGTGGCTAGATACATGGTTAGACAATCGCTTGGCTTTTGATTGGTTTTGAGAGTAACGTTTGAGTATCATTTTTAATGGCCATGCTTGTGTCTATGAATGCAATAGCTTGGATAAGAGATTACCTCACAAATTTGTTCAAAATCTTTCAATCAACTACAATTTTCTTGTCTCGTTTCCATTCTCTGTGTTCTGAAATATTGAAAATACAGAGTGAACCCTGAACTTTATTCTGGTAATCACATAGGATGTTTCCTTTTTCCTTATGTTCTCAATATCTCCATATGAAACAAGGCATGCTGAGTAGAAAAGGCTTATCATTCATGCATAGCATGTTCTTTTTGTTATCCATGTCCATATCAGTGAATTTGACGCCTCATCATGTTTGTTTAATGCTGCGTATTTTGTGTTGGATGTTAGCCGCTAATTTTTCATCCATTTTGCACTAATTTCTTCCTTCTTTGTTTGTAAATGCCTATTCCTTCTGAATTATGTTTCCTGCATGGTTAGCTTTTTTTAACTATGTTTTGCTCAACACTGATTTCCCGTGAATAACAAAGCAAAATTACAGCCTGCTTACATGTTTACTGATAAAGAGCATCGTGGACCATTTGAGTTTAGTGAAGAACTTGGGAGCTTGTCCCTTGATGCTGGCTCTGTAGAAAATGTAATACCCGCTCAGAGTTTTGAAGCCAGCGACAATGATTTACTTCTTAGCACATCTGAAAAGGAAGAAAGTCGAGGACTGAGCAATAATGATTCAGCATACAGTGCACCTGGCTATGATGCCTCATTAATATCTTTGGAGGATAAGCAAGGGCAACCTGAGTCTAATTTCGCAAGCCTGGCAATGCCAACAATGCTATCACAGGCTTCATCAGTCCTTGACGATCTTCTTGGTTTGGGTACTCTTGATATCCGGCCACCTCCAACTCTAAAGCTTAATCCAAAAGCAGTCTTAGATCCCGGGAGTTTCCAAAGAAAGTGGGGCCAGCTAGCAACTTCTTTGTTACAGGTAGCATCATTATTTCTTTTTCGATTATCTTTAAACCAAAGAGTTTTGGTTGATTTTATTTTTAGCAGCGTTACTGTTGGTCTTTGTTGTTCTATTCTGTCTTAAATTGTAGAGACACCATGCTTAATATTTTAGATTGAATCATGCTAATATCTCATACGGTACCAAGTCCCCAGACACTGGCTGCCAGTATGGAGCATGCAATGGTTTTGGATGCCAATTTTATCTTCTCGTTTTGTCACCATAAATTCGAGAATTATAAACATTTTTCAAATTGTTTCTGTTGCTGTGCTCCGTTGTTGTGAGCTATTGGTGAAATACAGTTATCTGAAAAAAGGTTTGTCCCTGACATTCCTTACAAAAAAATGTTGCCTAATTTTGCTGGCTCTTAAAGAGGTTATGAACCTCCCCAATTTTTTCTTTGCTCTGCTTTACAAAACTTCAATTGATCATTGAAATGAAGTTCGTGTTATCCTTATGGAGTAGTCATGCTAATTCAAAATCAGTGTGGTGACTTGGCCTTTTAATTAAATATGGACGAGGGTTGCTTGGTTGGGTATGCTTAGGGATGAGGTTATCTCATCAAATTGTACACCAATTCTAATACCTCTTAAATTTACCCTGGCCAAGCTCATAAATAGTTAATCTGGTCAGTTTATTTGGAGGGTTGAAAATTTTCAAAGTGTGAGCTTTATATTTATAGGTTATAAAGAAATCCCTTTGAATTTTTTTTCCAATAATAAGCAAACCTTTCTAGAGGATTCCTCTGTTGTAACTTTTTGAAATTCTAAGAAATTTGAACATTTACTCTTACCAGAACTATCATCTTCAGCCCTTTGATCTGACATTAATTTTACTTAGAATTGATGCTCTGTATTGTCTAGACAAATTTTTCCAGGTGGACTATTGCTTTGACATCTACCCTTGCTCATTGCTTTTCTGTTCAAAGTTAGGTGTTAACTAATTAATGAGCCTCCACATCACCTTAAATTCTCTCTGCTTTGACAACCAGATGAATATTGTCGCTGACATTGTACCAAAAGCTTGTATTTTTTATGAGTTGTTCATTCTTTGTTTCACTTTGTTTCTCTTATTGACGTCACTGCAACTGTTTGAAAGTCTTCTAAAAATCAATACCGATCTTATGTTTAAAGTGGCAATTGGGTCAAGTCCTATCATACTTACGTTCATGGTTTTCCATTTGAATATCTCTCTTATTATGTGTTTATCTGGAAATTTCTAAGCCAAAATGGCTATTAATATAGCTTTATATCTAATTATTAGTGTTTTCTTGTTGTTTGTGTTTGTTACTAAATATATTTTAGTTTTTCACGGCTATAGTTTGGTTATTAATTTTTTTAAAATTTCCACATTGTATTGTGTGGATTCTATGAATACCTCAGGATGTCATGCTTGTAAAAGCGAATACGTATAATACAATACCAAAAGTTTTCTTTGTTTTCTTTCCTTCTCTTCCTCTTTTCTAGCGTACAATATATTATGGAGGATAGCCCACGATGTTTTGCAGCTTGATTCCATCTCCCACTGCTCTTACTGCTGGATAATTCACTGTACCATGGTGTTGTTGGTTCTCCAACCACAAATATTATCGTCATGGATCAGTAGGTGCTCTCTAGGTTTTAGTCTCTGGTGTTGTCCATAATCGTAGGTAAGCTAAAGAATTTACTGTTCAGAACCTGTGCATTGGGATGCTTTATGAACTAGAAAGAAGAAGATTGTTGGAGATGTGTTTATCCAAGAATTTGAATTATTCAACCTGACTCCATTTTTTGTTTCTTCCACCGCTAGTTGACTCCTGCATCATGATGATATCACTAGTTTTTTCCAACAACAGCTGTCATGGATGCATGGGGGTTCTACTGTAGGTTTTCATCTCCGACACTACCTAGAAATGCAGGGAGGCTGACTGCGACCAAAACCTTTACAATGGAAAGATGGTTGAGCTAGATGAAAGATAAGGCTAATTGGAGTGTAGTAATCTTTATTTCTACAAGGGTTTTAATCAATAGGTGTTAAAAACTATTCTTCACCCATCTCTTCTTGCTCTTATAATTGAATAAAAAGTTGAAGTTGAAGTTGGCAAGATTGACGATCTAGAAGTTCTTAGGGCAAAATGACTGTTGCTAGCATCAAGGTTTGAATGTGATTTTGTCTGAAGAAGCATTTCAGAAGGTGGATGAAAAGAGCCAATCAAATCTTGGATTGATGTCCTGAGGCCTTGTCCCATGTAGATGTGCATCAAGATATGCTGATGAATGGTAAGATGATTTGATGATTAATCATAGATTGATTTCTTGAGAGGATGTCCATGTTGATATCCTTAGAGGACCTATCACCAAGAAAGCTCCAAGTGTGTTGTGACATTTTGTTGACTATGATGAGAAACTTGATGCTCTAGTACAAGTAATTTGTATTTTAAACTTTTGACAAGCTTGGACTAAAAACTCTACCAAAATCTTTTTAAATGAAGTATGAACTTTGAATTGGTTTGACTGGCTTTTAAACACACTTTGACAGGTCAAACTGAGTCTTTGCGTGTGCGAGTTGATTTTAGTAAAGCTCAAATGAGGCTCGATCAGCTAGAACTTGATTGAACTGAGCCATTGTAGGTTTTTTTGGCCATCAGGAATTTAGAATGCAGGGGTATTATTATGTGAGGTAAACACCAATGATGGATAGATAGTAATGTAGCCGTTGAGTTTTGTTTTAACAAGGGGTAAGTGGTCCATGTGACAGAATCTGCAACAATGACGTGAAGATGCTTTAGTTATTATCCCCTCCCCCTCCCCTTGTGGAGCTCTATGGTTGTGGCTTTGGTGAATGTATCTGTGATATGCTCGTAAGTGTTATGAAGAATAGTTTGTTCCTTGAAAAAATGATCTCGCATGAAATGATGATAACTTCTATATATTTGTTGCATGTTTGGAAGGCTAGTTTGTTAGCAAGGGTCATGGTTGAGATATTTTTATAGTATAGTATAGTGGGTTGTGTGATTGAGACATTAATATAATGTATTAAGCAAAAAGCAAGGTGCAGTGTCAAATAAGCAAGGGTTCCCACATTACAGACGAATGCGGGTAAAGAAGTTAATACATGAAACTAATAAAACTAATATTAGAATAGGATTTTGGAATATAGGTACTCTCAATGGTAAATTAATAGAATTAGTTAATATTATGATTCATAGGAAAATTAGTATATTATTTATTCAAGAAACTAAATGGGTTGGAGAAAATGCTAAGGAGATTGATAATTTCGGTTTTAAACTTTGGTATTCTGGTAAGAGTCGCACTAGAAATGGTGTTAGTGTAATTATATATATAAGAGTTTAAAAGATAATGTTGTAAAAATTAATAGAGTTGGAGATAGAATTATAGCCCTTAAGATTATCATTGATACTAAAATTTTTAATATTATAAGCGCTTATGCTGCTCAAATAGGTTTAGATACAGAGTTTAAAGATAAATTTTGGAATTACTTAGAAGACTTAATACAAATGATACCTCTTGAAGAAAGAATTTTTATTGGAGGAGATTTAAATGAATATGTCGGTAGAGTGGTAGAAGACTTCAGAAATACTCATGGTGGCTACGGTTTTGGAGTAACTAATGAAGAAGGTAGAGCTATTTTAGATTTTACATTAGCGTATGATTTGGTTATCACTAATACTTTATTCAAGAAAAGAGATGAATATTTTATTTTTTATAAGAGTGGATCTAATAAAACACAAATTGATTATTTTCATATGAGAAGAAGAGATCGTCGAGATTGTAAAGATTGTAAGGTCATTTCTAGTGAGAATTTAATTGTTTATTAGTTCTAGATTTTAAGATGAAGAGTTGTAAAATAAAAAATACTAGGACTCATCATTGTAGAATTATATGAGGGATCCTTCAAGACACAAATAAAATTATTTTTATGAGTAAAATTTTCAAAATTTGGGATGTTCATGAAGAAGCAAATATTATGTGGGATAAAGTAACAAATACTATTAAACAAGTAGCAAAAGATGTGATTGTAGAATAAAAAAAAAATTTATAAATAAAAATAGTTGGTGGTGGAATAATAATGTGCAAGTAAAGATAAAATATAAGAAGTTATGTTATAATAATTGGTTTAATGGTAAAAGCTTAGAGAATTAGGAAAAATATCAAACGGCTCATAGGGAGTCTAAAAAACAATTTGTGACGCTAAAAATTTTGCTTTTAATGATCTCAATAATAGATTAGATACTAAGGAGGGTGAAAAATATATGAATAAACTAGCTAAACAAAGAGAAAATAAAAGTAAAGATTTAACTCAAGTGTATTACAGATGAAAATCAAAAAGTACTTTTCTTACAAAAAAAAATATTCAACATAAGTCGGTGAGTTATTTTGATAAATTTTTTAATGAAATTTCTGAAAATACGATCGACCTTAGTAATATTAATATTGTGAATAATAATAAAACGTTTTATTTTTACTATCGCATTAGTACAAAAGAAGTTGAGGACGCTTTAAAGAAAATCAAGGGTGAAAAGTCTATAGGGCCTGATGATATCCCAATTGAAGTGTGAAAATATTTAGGAGATTTGAGAGTTTCTTGGCTTACTAAACTCTAATATTATTTTAAAAAACTAAAAAAATGTTTGAGGAGTGGAGGAAGAGTATTTTGGTCCCCATTTTTAAGAATAAAGGGGATGCACATGAGTGTGAAAATTATAGATGAATTAAGTTGATGTGTCATACTTTAAAGTTATGGGAGAGGGTAATTGAACATAGGTTAAGACGCATTACAAAGATTTCTCATAATCAATTTGGATTTATGCCGAGCAGGTCTATTATGGAAGCTATACATTTATTGAGAGGTTTGATGGAGAAGTTCATAGATAATAAGGAGAATTTACGTTTTATTTTTATTGATTTAGAAAAAGCTTACGATAAGGTTCCAAGAGATATCCTTTGGAGAGTTCTTGAGAAGAAATGTGTTGATATGACTTATATTCAAGTCATTAAGGATATGTATACTAGAGTTGTTACTTGTGTTCAAATTGAAGGAGGATTGACCAAATATTTTCTTACTTCTATTGGATTACATCAGAGATCGGCTTTAAGACCATATCTTTTTGCTTTAGTTATGGATGGTCTTACTGGACATCTACAGGAGGATGTACCTTGGTGTATGCTTTTTGCTGATGATATCCTTCTCATGGATAAAACGAGAGAAAAAGCACAAGAGAAACTTGAATTATGGAGGTCTACATTGGAGTCTAAAGGCCTTCATTTAAGTAGAACTAAAACTAAATACATGGAATGTAATTTTAGTGGTAGTAGCTCTAGTGACAAAAGTGTGACTTTGGGTTTTCAAATTATTAAAAGGTGTGAACGATTTAGATATCTTGGGTCCATTGTTCAAAGCGATGGTGATATAGATGGGGATGTTAATAGTAGAATTCAAGTTGGTTGGTTGAAGTGGAGGAATGCTTCGAGCCTTTTGTGTGATAGAAAAGTACCGCTTAGACTGAATGGAAAATTTTATAAGACGGTGGTGAGATCTGCAATGCTCTATGGCGCTGAATGTTGGTCTTTAAAAGAGAAGCATAATAATAAGTTAAGTGTTGCTGAGATGAGAATGATTAGGTGGATGATTGGCTTTACACTTAAGAGACAAAATGCGAAATGAATATATCTGTGATAAGGTTGGTGTAGCTCCTGTGTCGAGCATCTGATGATCCGATTAGAAGAGTAGATGTTTTAGATTCGACTTGTGTTAAGAAAGGCAGAGGTAGACCTAGGAAGACTTGGGCTTATTGTATAAAACATGATCTTAATTTACTAGAACTAAATGAAAATATGGAACTAAATAGGACGCAATGGAGAAAAAGAATTCATGTAGCCGACCCCACGTGGTGGGATTAAAACTTTGTTGTTGTTGTATTAAGCAAAAAACTCGTGTGTCGATTGTTGTTGTTATTAGGGTTCTATATTTTACCTCGATTGATGATCTAGTAATGACCTGTTATTTTCTAACACACCATGAGACAATTCTATTTCCTTGAAATGAGCAATAGCATGTCATAGAGATTTTGTCAGTGTATTTCTTGTAAATTCTGAATTAAAGAATGAACCGCTAGAGCTACTCCAACCATTTCATGGATATTCGTATTGTATTTTGTCTAATAGTGTAAAACCACTCATTCACTCGAGCATTCTCATCTCAGCAACATTTAACTTAATTTTATGCTTTTCTTTTTCGGGCCAACAATCTGCTCCATAAAGCATTGCATGTCTCACCATCATCTTATAAAGTTTTCCTTTTAAGTCGAGGCGGTACTTTTCTATCACATAATAGGCGTGATGCATTTCATTACTTCAACCATCCAAATTTTAACAATAAACTCGAGATATGAAAAATATTCACTCTTTTTAAGGATTTGATCACCCATTATCATAGTAATGCCACTAGATCTACTATTACTAAAATTACATTTTTTGTATTTAGTTTTAGATTTACTCAAATAAAAGTCTTTAGACTCTAATGTTGATGTCCATAATTCAAGTTATTCTTTAATTTCTATAGTTTTATCCATAAGAAGGATATCATCAACAAAAAAACATACACAAAGTTACATCCTCCTCTAAATGCCCAGCAAGAGCATTCATAACTAATGCAAAAAGTGAAGGGCTTAAATTCAATCCCTACCTATTAACTTAATTCTTCTATAATTTGCACACTCTTGTTTATCTCTTTTATCTTAACAATAGGATCCTTGGACTCTTTCTCCACTCATCATGCTTCTTCTTAGTTTTTAAAATAATATTAAAAAGTTTAGCAAACTAAGAAATTCCTAGATTTCCTAAACATAACCACACTTCTATTGGAATACCCTCAGGTCCTACTACTTTTACACACTTCATTTTCTTTAAAACCTCTTAACTTCTGCTGTACTAATACAACGGTGGAATGACATTAGGTCCCCTTAAAACCTCTTAAATGTCCAAAAAGAGCATTCATAACTAATGTAAAATATTATGGGCTTTAAGCCGATCCCTATCCATTAACTTAATTCCTCTATAATTTGCACACTCGTGTTTCTCTTTTATTCTTAACAATAGGAACCATTGACTCTTTCTCCACTCATTATGCATCTTTTTAGTTTTTAAAATAATATTAAAAAGTTTAGCAAGCTAAGAAATTCTTAGATTTGCTAACTTTTTTTTTCCATACTTCTATTGGAATACCATCAAGTCCTACTTTTCCACGTTTTATTTTCTTTAAAACCTCTTAACTTCTGCTTTACTAATACGGTGGTGGAATGCCATCAGATACCCTTATTCCAAGTAAAGGTTTTATCAAAATTAAGCCTTATCTTGAATTTCCACCTACAACCAAGAATGGTTTGCTTGGATGGTGGGGTAACCAATTTTGAGGTGGTTGTAGCAAGGCAAGGAATTCTTGGAACATTGCTTATAGCTGGTGTTTGTGTTTGACGACATGGGTGTAACATGTAAGATCAAGCTGAATGGTCTGGTGATGGATGCGATCGAATATGGGTTTGAATTTGAAGTATCCTGTTTGAGGTATGTTTGCATGTGGTCTTTGGACTGCGCATGCTGGATTTCTTGCGGCGAAGTGGGTAGTATGGAAAGTGAGGGTGATGAGTGAATTGGTGGATCCATTGTGGTTGACTCAGAAATGACAGTGGTAGTTGAAGTAGTTGTAGAAGTTGGCTTTGAAGGGGATATGATGTCTGTTAGCATTGGGCTGTGAGGGAGGGAAATATGAAAAATAGAGATTAAAATTAGTGGAGCGGAGGCTGATTGTGTGAATTTGTAAGTGTTGAGGTATGCTAATTTAGTTAAGAAAAGCTGTACTCATCAACGATTTCATGATGGGAAATTATAACTTTTTGAGTTTTGAGAGTTTCGATATACCTTTTGAGATGTTTGCTATCCTAAGATAATGCAGGGAGTTGATTATCTGGAGAGTGGTTGTCATTAAGGGAAGCAAGAGCAATTAAATTCCTTAAGATGAGAGTATGGGGATGGCTCCTTAATAGGGTAGCTTATTGGTGCGATTTCATGTGTAGCTTAGATGGCAGTTTGCTGATTACATGAACTGTTATAGGAGAGTCAACCCAAAAATGAGTGCCAATTTTACTTTAAGAATGATTGCATACCTAACTTGAATTTTCTTAGATGTGATTGAGTTTCATATTTGTTAGTTTGGCTAGATTTTTGGATTCAGATATAGTCTAGTTTCTCACTTGCCTAGATCATATATGGTTAAAATTAACAATTAGAAATATGGATCCGGACACCTGGTTATCAAATATCAACGTATAGACATAATCACATAAAATGGGCATTCTAGAATTAAGTAGTCATGGTCATATGACGGACAGAATCATACATTATAAAATCGAAGTTAAGTAAACAAAAATATAACATTCATTCTAGAATTGATTTAAAATAAGATAATGCCATTTAGAAATTAAAAGAAAAATGTAATCTACGATTATTTCACATCTTTTAAATTTTAGAAGGGGCAATTACATATATAGCACTTGCAATATTGCTATTTACAAAACTAGCATCCTCTTTCATCTACTTTTTAAATTCTCACACTTCTTGGTGCTATTTTGTAATTAGCTATGTTAAGCACTTCAAATTAATTTTGATTTGATTTAGATTAATCGTCTGTTAGAACCGAAAACAGGTAGACTTGGTTTGAGCATTTTAAAGCTAGAATTGAACCGACATGAACTAATATTGAGCCAGATTGATTGATTTAGTTTTGATTGGATCTATTCTTTAAATATTTATGCACGCCTCTACCCTTCAATCCAAATATTATAACCATATGATTAATATTCTAACTCTTAAACTTAATTAGCACTAGATTCATCCACTTGCTAAAAAAAATTGAGACATCAAAGAAAACAAAATGAAAGTTGATTTGGCATGCAAGGGAGGCAATTTGACACAGTAAGAAAATGATTCTTTAGGCAAATTGAGCACAAATTAGAGATGCCAGAATGCATGGGAGGCAAATGCAAGTAGGGCATCGGGTTCAATGTTTCTGCGAGCTCATGGGAGATGAGATGCTTTTATAACATTTAACTCATAGGAGATTAAAAGAGAATTAATCCTTTTATTTTTACATTTATTTATATTGAAAACTGAGATATTTAAAATGGGTTGAAATTTTGTAATTTGATAATTTAATTTCATCTATGTTATATGATGAGACTCTCACTATGCTAACAGTTGCAGACTTTTGTAGAGGGAATTTTAAACATGCTTTATCTTTATCTCTTCCATTTTTTTTTTCCTTCCCCTGCCTCAGACTGTCTCTTTGTATGAATCTGGCTTTACTTTTATCATTCTCTCTACCTTGCTATCTCTATTTTTCATATGTTGAAGATATGTTCCTTGTAACTTGAAACATGCAAGTAAACAAAGGTTACACTTTTCATTCTCCATGCTGTGCTTTCAACATTGTTGTTAAGTGTCTCATCTTCTTTCCAGGAATTCTCAATAAATCCAGAAGGAGTGGTCGCCTTGACGATACCTCATACGCTTCACAAACACATGCAGGGTCACTCCATTCAATGCATCGCCTCTGGCGGCCAGCCGCCAAATCTCAAATTTTTTTTCTTCGCACAGAAGGATGGCGAAAATTCTCCCTTCTTTCTTGTTGAGTGTCTCATCAATACATCATCAACAAAAGCACAGATAAATATCAAGGCCGAGGATCCCAGCCTTTCTGAGCCATTTTCAGCTTTGTTTCAGTCTGCATTATTAGCTTTGGGCCCATCTTAGAGCTATTTTTGTAATAATTTTTGACAATTGTTCAAATTTTTTTCAGATATGCATTTTATGCCTCCATATGCAGTATTATGTTTCATTTGTAGAATATGTTATTTGATACTGTGGAGTTATACAAAATAATTGTACTTAAAACTTACAAAAGTCTATAGAAGAGGGATTGAATGCAATTTTTATTTTATATTTGCAAAAAGTTTATTTCTTTATTGTGAAATCATTTGATAATAGTTATTGTATGCAATCTTTTTAATAATGTTGTTCTTTAGGACTATTGTGAAATCATTTGATATAGAAAAGGATTCATGTAGCCGACCCCAAGTAGTGGGATTAAGACTTTGTTGTTGTTGTTGTTCTTTAGTACTATGTTTGTATTTATATATCGTCTTGTATCAATTTATTATGGTATAAAAATTTAGTAGAATAAAGTAATACAAATAATTTAAAAATTGAATGATATTTTAAGAAATATAAAAAATCATGTTATTTGGATATGTATATTTTTTGCATTTTGAGACTGCAATTCCTTTAGGGCAGTTGCAATTGTTTGTAGAAGTTGTTTGTAATGGTAAATGTGGAGCTAAATGGGAAGTAGTTTTTTTAAAAAAATTATTATGAGCATTATATTTTTTATTTCCTTAAAAAGCTATGTAACGTTTTTTTTTTTTTTTTTTTTTTTTTTTTTTTTTTTTTTTTTTTAGCTACCGTATTTTACAAAAAACTACTAAAAAATAAATTTTGATCATACAAATTTTAAGAAGAAAAAGAAGTTAGCAGGAGGGTTATGACAACTTTTTGAAAATAAAAAATGTGCAAAAAAACAACTACAAGCATGCTCCTAGGCGAGAAAAAAATAGTGTTTGTTCGGATGCAGAGCTATCTCCGAACAACGGACGTGACATAGCTGGATGGAGCAAGGCTCAGACCTCCGTTGTATCACGTCCGTTGTCTGAATGCAACTTACGTCGAATTTCGGACGTAATATTTTTTTCCCTAGGTTTAAATAGAATGATGAGCCTTTTTTTTCCCAAAAAATATCTCAGACTTTTTCTTTTAGTGTACTTATCTTCCAATTACTGATGATCTGATACTTCTCACATTTTGTTAAGTACACATTTTTATAGATAAATTTTGTTGGCATCATATTGGGCTCATCCTGATACCATTGTTTCTTAAACTACTGTGAGGGTTCTCTTTTCGTCCACTCAACATATGCCTCAACCCATACGGTGAAAGAGGTCTAGCACCACAGCACTGAGCGATCTCTAAATGAAGCTGAAGTGCTAGCTTTCATGCCTAGGCTCCACCTGCAATAACCGTGGCCGCGTGTAACAACACATTTCTGCCTTTACTCGAATAATCCCAAAAAATTAACTAGTGCCACAACGCCGACACTTGACACTATGACGCTCAATCAATTTCATTGTTGATTAACCACTATATTTGATATGAACGAACTAATAATAAAAGCGTTTCATGGAGTCTGGTCTTATCGCAGCTAAATCGAGACCAAACGTCACAATGCTCAATTAATTAGACAAATGCTCGCCTCGTGTTATGGGTGTGACAGTGTGAATTGAGGCGCGTTTGACTGAGTCTGGCTTTAACGCCACAATGCCGAGACCAAGTGCCACAATGTCATGATTAAAATTATGCGACCATTTGTAACATGTAAAAAATTTGTACATGTTGGCATCAATTTTTTATGTCGCAACTTTGGGACGTTCATTCGAACTTGGAGAACCATATTGTATTAATGTGTAGCATCTCATAGCCCAAAGACATCCTTCAAGATTCCCCGGTGCATGCCTAGGGCACCGAGGTGGGGGTTTGCCTGGGCTCATATGCACCATAGTCTTATCGCACGCATGTCTGGATTGTGTCTGGTGCCTCAGCACTAGGGGGCTGACACACCAGCGCTTGGCTGAACCTTGCGCACCCGCACCATGCTCCAAAAGTCAAAGAGGGGGCGCCCTCCGCGTCAGCGTCTTTGTGCCCCTATATCGGGGTCTTGGTGCACCGCGCTTTAACTGGGTTGAACCTGGTGCACTCGTGTTAGGAGCCGGACGCGTCCCTGACACACTAGCTTTAACAGAGCCAAACCCGATGCACCTGCGCTAGGAGCCTGGTTTTGATGGGTTGTCTTAGCTGAATCAAGCCACTTGGTGGCAAATTTCTAATGAAGCATTGAAAGGAGGGCACAAAAGGTGTTTAGCCACCTTCCTCTAATGGTGGGCAAATTGCATGCCTCCCTCATTTACACTTGAGGGGTAGTCATGACACACGGAGAGTGAACTTAGGAAAAGGTTCTTCCCTCGAGCCTTCTATGAAAACGTGCAACTACCTGGTGCCTGGGCGTCAGGTCAACTTTTACTCATTTTGACCTCTTTTTTGCTCATTTTGCTCCTTAAGCTCCATCTTTTGTACCTACAATAAAAGACACACAATATCTTTCATTAAAACACAATATACTTAAAAATAAGTAAAAAATATATATATATATAAAATAACACATTTTAAGGTGTATCATAATACCACTTAAATAATGTCTCAATAACACTATAATAATATTGCAATAGCGCTATAGTAAAACTGAAATAACACCAGTCGAGAATACCACCATTAACATTAAATACCGCTAAAAAATAACACCACCAGACTAACTTTACCTCCACAAAATAATCACAAAAAACACTAGAAAAATAAAATTATATCATTGATTCATAGTACAAAGAAAATCAACCAACTATAAATTAATATCAACATTTCAATCATAACTAAACACACATCACTTTCAAACTTCTCACCATTATTTTCAAATTTCATCATCAATATTTCTCATACGACAAGAGCCACAGGGATTGCAACCGCGATGTGTGCGAGGGGAAAAATATTACCTCAGGAGTACTAATGCATCAGTACTCCAATGATGAGATGTCACGTATGCAATGGTCCCACCGTGACACCACATGACACCCCACCATTGAAGTTCTGATACATCAATACTCATGAGGTAATATTTTTTCGTGCGAGAGATTTCAATTGAAACAAATCTCAGTTATCAAAATTGCAGGTGAATAACCTTAGAAAAAAATAGAGGTTTATTTGACATGAAGAACTTTATTTTAGAAGCAATTAGCTGGATTCGGCTGGATCATACAACTAAAAAGTACATTTTATTTTTCGTTGAGCGGGCGTGGCCTAATTAGAGTCCGATAGAATACCTGATCGTAATATCCCGAATAGTTGACGAGGAAAAGCGAGAGAGACGCGGAGCAGAGAATCCGCGTCTCCCCTTTCTCCGATATCTTTGGTCTTCAGGGAAGCAAGCGCCACAGTAGCAGAGAAGCGAAGAAGAAGAAAACTTGGAGAAGAGTGGGGCGCTGGCTGTGGGGGAGAAGAGGATGCCTGGGAGGAGGATGAGGACATCGGAACCTAACAACATCCATAGCTGTGCGCAGTTTGGTGATCTCTCCGGCCTCCAGAAACACCTGGAGGAAAATCCTGCTCTTCTCAATGCCAAGAACGGCATCGTAAGCCCTCTTATCGCTCTTTATGCTGTTCTCCTTTTGCTCATTTCCCCTCAGACTCCTTTTTCTTCTCTTCACCCATTTTCCTTCATTTTTATACCATATTGGGCTCTGTGAGGATTTATTGTTGAGGCTTTTTATTCATTTCTGAAGCAATTCAAAAATTAAGTGCTTACTGTAACTTTTCCGCCTTTCTTATGCCTTTTGAATTTTTTCCCAAAAAAAGGGATTATCGATGTCGTTTATTTATGTCTTTTGAAAAAACGATAAGCGCCTATATATCAGCAAAATGGGATTCCTCTGTCGGTTTCTAATTTTCTCAGAATTCTTCCGGATCTTACTGATTTGCGCACTTTCTATGCCGCAGCGATGTGATTGAACAAATTGCGTACGCTCACTTTCATTATTTTTTCTTTGATTGTTTCTTTCATGATCCCCTATTCTTATATTAGTTTTAAGAGCCCATTTGTTGATTAAATTTAGATTCCGCCATTTGTTTTTGCTGTAGGTAGAGATGAATATTGACTTTAAATTTGCAAACACTTTCAACACCTCTTAAATATCATGATTTCATTTCCACATATAAAATGTGTGAAATAAAATCTTTGTTTTAACATATTTGCTATCAACAAGCTACGAAATTAACCCTTTTTTACAAAGCCTAATTGAAAGACTTATGTTTCGTTCCCTTTTTTCGCCTTCTTTCACCAAGAAATGACTCTAATCCATCTTTTTTCCCACACTTATGATTTGTAGATGGCACAAACGCCTCTACATTTAGCAGCTGGCTATAACAAATGTGATATCATCAAATATTTGCTTGAGTGGAGAGGCCCTGTAAAGGTTGAGATGGAAGCTAAGAATATGGTAGGCAAAATTACTCAACTCCAAGTTCGTTGTTTTTTTTAGTTATAACTTTGATTATTAGCATCAAAATGCCTACTTTTGTAAATGATTATTAATCATTCTATTAAATCAGCTCATCAGCTCTTTTATTGTCTGTGTCTTTAGTATGGTGAAACACCTCTGCACATGGCGGCAAAAAATGGTTGCAATGAGTCTGCTCGGCTGCTTATCTCTAATGGTGCTTCTTTAGAGGCAAAAGCTAATGTGAGAAATGTCTTATATCTTTCCATTTTCTTCAGGCATTTAATTATTTGGAAATTTATATACATACCACATAATTCTTAGGTATTTACATATCTAACACTTAAAATTCTATATTTACATTTGCACACTTTGGTGTCATAAACCTATGTATGAAAAGCTGTATTTCACTTTTAAAAAGCAAGTAAAATTGGTCTTTTTGATGTGATACTGAACTTTTGAGTTCTATCTATGTAAATATGAAATTTTAGGTGCTAGATATGTAAATACAAAAGAATTGCATTATATGTATGTAAATGCCTCTTAATTATTTATTTAGCATCGAACATTTCTATCATCAATTTTCTTAACTTATAGAATGGAATGACGGCTCTCCATTTAGCTATTTGGCATGCACGACAAGCCATGGAGTGTGGTATAGTGAAAACATTGTTAGAGTACAACGCAGATTGCAGTATCCAGGACAACGTATGTTTTTAATTTGAGAAATTTTTTGTTTACTTCTTACTAATTTCCTTTGAAGGAATCAAGGAATGAACTAAATCTATTTTTCTCATAAAATTTAAAAGGAGGGTTTCACTCCCTTGAATCATATTTCTGAAGGGCATGGTAGTGAGAAATTGAGGGAACTTCTTGATCAACACATCAAAGAACAATTAAAGTTCAAAGCCCTCAAAGCTTGTGGCGAGGCAAAAGCAAAGATGGTCCAGTTTGAAGTTTCCTTGTCAAACATTGTGGGACTGCATTCACTTAAGTTGCAGTTGCGTAAATGGGCTAAAGGAATGATTTTTGATGAGAAAAGAAGAGCTCTCGGCTTGAGCATTTCGGCAACAAAAGTTCCTCATATGGCTTTTCTTGGTAACCCTGGAACAGGTACTTGTACACATTTGTAGAAACAGAAATGTGATGTGCAGCTAGTGTTATACATCTTTTTTCCTTTTGTATTGACACAAGTTCTTAACTAGAGAAATGTTAATACTTATTTATTAAAAAAAAAATCTGCCCTAAAACTTTGGCTACATATATCATCATTTGATTTGCTAGACTAATAAAAGGACTCTTTCTTCAATGGCACTCTTGCAAATTTGATAGGTCCTCTTATGAAATTAGGGTCCAAATGAATTGTTGTGAAGAATTTTTTTGTTACTGTAACTTTTAGTATCATGGTTTCTTTGAGGTATGTCATCTTTGATGCAGTTAACTTTTCTGAGACTCTTTTCTAGGATTTTATCAAAATTTTGCTATGTTGTATTATTACACCAATCAAAACCTTTTTTTCAAAAATTGCTTAAAATGGACTTGTTCCTTGTAGGGAAGTTTGTTTCTCCCGTCTGTCTTTTAATATGAGAAGGTGGATATTTTCATAGAACTAACTTCCATGTATCAGATGTAAAATTAATTGGGCATATTTTTAAATCAGATGATATTAATGTCACTGCACAAACATAGGGTAGCTTCTATTTACATTCGGTGAGATTTACCTGATTGTTATCTCCTTATAGTTATATTTCCTTAACCTAAACACCGTAGTAACGAATAGAAAGTTATATAAGATGTATGAGAGAATGTATCAAGAACAGTACTTTATGTGGTAGAAACGTGGCCCAGTTGTTGGGGCGGGTTTCCTTCAGCAACATAGCCTATGTTCGAATTCCTAAAATTTAAATACCCTTTTCTATCATATTTATTTGGGGCAAATGGGCTATTTTAATTTTATGCTAACAAAAGTTGGATGGAAAAGGTAATATGATGGATGAGATATATAATATTTTTCCAAACCTAAGATGTTTATGTAATAGTTAGCTTAGCTTTGGGGAGGTAAATGATCACAACCCTATCATTAAACTGGGAATTGAGATTCTGAGAATTTTCTTAACAGGGACACAAACTCAATTTAAGTGATGTTATAAGAGTGTCTTAAAATGTTGATTGTTGCTGGATATAAAGTATGTATGTGATGACGAAAAATAATTGTTTTAAAAATTTTGCATTGTGGCTCGATTTTTGGCATCCAAAGTGAATCTCTTCTTTAATTCCCCGAAACTATGGGCTGGAAGCATAAATGTTCAAATTTTTAAGTTTCTGAGCAGAAGCTTACAATTTGCACTTATGCTGAGATCAGCAAAATCTCATGATTCAATATATCTAAAGCTAGCTTTCGAACATGAGCTTATTTTGAGCCCTCGTTGGTACGGACCAGCTCAGGGCTTGCTTTTGTTGGGTAAAAATGGCATCTGTGTAGTGCATCATTTTAACTCACAGGGAGCATAATAAAGCGAGTGAATTAAGGCTCCAATAGAGAGATTTAATCCTTCTTTGCTTTCTACAATAAAAGCTCGGTCACTGTATATAACTATAGTAGAATATTCTAGTAGCTAGTTAGATCTTATTACATATGTGCCGTTATGTAGTTGTATATGCCTTATGCTCTCCACCTCCATGTTGTCAGACCAAATCCTTTCGCATTTAGCCATTCGGTTATGGGCTATGACCCCCTTCAAGGTGATGGGTCCTGGAAAGAACCTGAAGCTTGGATTTGAAGTAATGGAACTTTGGCTTGGTAAGTGATTTAGTGAAGATATCACCCAGTTGATCCTGTGTAGAGATATAATGAATGGCAAGTTGACCTTGTTAGAGATATTACTGAATGAAGTGATAATCAATTTTTATGTGTTTGGTCAAATCGTGAAAAATCGGATTAATGACAATAGCCATGGCAAAGACATTGTCGCAGTATAGGTTCGTCGAATTAAGTTGGTCAACTCCTAGTTCATTGAGAAGTTGGCGAACCCATAGTATATCCGCAGTTGCTGCAACCAAGGCACGGCATTCAACCTTCGTGGAGGACTGAGCGACGGTCTGCTATTTCTTTATGGTTCATGAGACAGGGGTATTACCAAGTAGATAGCAAAAGTCGGTTATAGGCTTTCGGTTCACCGAATCATCTGCCCAAACAACATCCTAATAGTGATGATAAGAAGCCCAAAGTCGAGGGACCCTTATGAGTATCGGAGGAGGGGTTTGAGTAGTTTATAGTGATGATTTGTGGGTTGATGCATATGTTGGTAGATTTTGTTGACAGCGAAGGAAATATCAGGTCGGGTAATCGTGAGATACTATAGGGCCCTTGCAACTCATTGATACGTCGTTGCATTGTTCATAGGTGGCGAGCTGTCCGGGATGTCCATTTTCTTACTCGAAAGAGGAGTGAAGACCGGCTTACAACCCACATAGTTTTCTCCTAAATGATGTTGGTGAGGTAGGATTGTAGACTCAAAAACATAGTGTGTTGTCCTACATACCTCGATATCTAAGAATTTGTGTACGCACCCAATTGTTTGATCTGAACCTATTGGAAGAGTTTGCTAGTAAGCTCCTGAATGGAAGCCATACAATCACTGATAACTAGGATGTCGTCGACATAGAGGAGAAAAAAGTTTGTGAGTGTAGATTTCTAAGAGATGATCGGGAAGGGATCGGCTCAACTGATGGTTAAGCCCAACTTTATCAAGAATTGGTGGTGTACCATTCTCTAGGGGTCTTTTTGAGGCCATAGAGTGCTTTCTTTGATCTATTATATATGAGTTATATCATTTTATATATGATATATTACATACGAGTTCCATCATTTAAGTAAATAGGAGATATGTATAAAGCATAGTCGTAGGGCTGTAATCGAGTCGAGTATATCATTGTTTGGAATTGGTTTGGTATAATTATAAATTATTTATGTTCGGTTTGAGTTTATTTCGAGCTTTCACATATAGTTCAAGCTTGACTTGTTTAAATTTTTTTTATGTTTGGACTTGATTTGTTTATGACAATTGAATAGGCATTTAATCGAGCTAATAAACAAGCTAAAAATTCGAACAAATATCTTGATTTTTATATAAAAAATATAATAAATAATTTTATAAATCCGAATAAATAGTCAATTGAATAAATTATATAAGCAAAAGAATTTACTCATATGTTGTCATCTAGTGTTTCTAATATATGAACTAGTATTATAAAGTAACTCATAATGTGAAATTATTCATCAATTGTAAAAATAATTGAGAAAATCAAAGGCAATCAAATCAAGCACAATAAAAGAAAATGAACAGAAAGTGATGTTCAATTTTAGAATTCTATCATGTTAATTTTCAAATATTTAATAATTAATAATAAAATAAATATATAATTAATAATTAATTTGAAAAGATTTTTGATATAATAATATATTATTGTTAAATCTATAATTAAATAAGTTCTAACTAATACAATTTTATTTAAATAATATATCATATATGATACGAGTCTTATTCGAGTTTAATATCGAGTTTTCAACAACTTAATTGTTGAACAACAAACGAGTTTGTTCGTGAATATAAATGAACTAGGTCAACTATGTTCATGTTTAGCTCATTCATGATATATCATATATGATACGAGTCTTATTCGAGTTTAATATCGAGTTTTCAACAACTTAATTGTTGAACAACAAACGAGTTTGTTCGTGAATATAAATGAACTAGGTCAACTATATTCATGTTTAGCTCATTCATGATTCGTGTTTCTAAAAATTGTTCAAGCATGTTTTTCTACAAGTTTGAATGAACATGATCCAGTCTTAATTGAGCTAAGTTCGACTTGTTCATCAGATGCATTAGTTGATTTACAACCCTAAACACAGGCTAGGAAATCAAAAAGTACAGCTTATCAAGCAAAGCAGTACAGTTAGGGTTGGTGGTCTCATTAAAGAAACAAAACAGCTTTCTCATAAACTCAAACGGGTTGAGGTACTTTAGCCGACTGAGTTAGGAAGAGAATTTAACGATGACCCAAGTATCCTCCTTCCGACAAGATGAGAGGACCTCAGTCATGTCTTCTTTCTACTTCTCGAGGAGATATTAAAGTGCACGCAATGGAGACAGCAAGAACTTGCGAATGAATCAATCACATAATAATCTCATGGAATCGTTTAGGGTGTTTTTATAGCGATTAATGTGCCTTTTTTCTTGTTATAGGTTTTTAATGTATGTTTCTAAATATAGTTTTTTTTTTAACTTTTATGGCCTTTTGTTAAGTAAATTGAGTCACGTGGGGTATCTACATGTGCGTTAAGGTGGTATTTAGACGGTATTCATGTGCCAATACCACAAATCCACACCTAATCCGCACCTTGCTCTTCCACACCTAATATTTTTTTCCAATTAAACATACAAATAACTTCTATCATTTACACACATATGCATGTGTAACTTATTATTTTTAGTTTTGTATTTAATTAATTTTTAAATGTCCCGAACTTATTTTATTTGATCAATATTTAAATATTCTAGCACTTTCAAGTATCATGCAGAAATAGTTCCATTGTTTTGTGATTCGTGCTGTTAAGCTGAATTAATTTGCACCATTCGCCTTCAATTTTGAATATATTTGTATTTACATGCAGGAAAGGTCATTTGTCTGCGAATTAAACTCCAAATGAATTATTTTTGCTAGGTAAAACCATGGTTGCTCGTGTTCTTGGCAAACTACTTCATATGGTTGGAGTTCTACCCACAGATAAGGTGACCGAAGTGCAAAGAACTGACCTGGTTGGAGAATTTGTAGGGCATACAGGACCGAAGACAAGGAAGAAGGTAATAAATGCATTTCTTAAAAACTTCCTGTCCCAATGAAGGAATAGAGTATAAAAATCATCTTTTTTTTAAAGAAAAATAAAAAAATATTTTGTTTGATCTGCAGGAAGAATCAACTTTTTAATAGAATCACTGTTTCTCTGCAATCTTAATCTTCTGGATCTTATCTGCAGTTGCAAGAAGCGGAGGGAGGAATCCTTTTTGTTGATGAGGCCTACAGGTTGATACCAGCACAGAAATCAGAGGACAAAGACTATGGCTTAGAGGCTTTAGAAGAAATTATGTCTGTTATGGATAATGGGAAGATTGTCGTCGTATTTGCCGGATACCGCGAACCAATGAAGCGGGTGATCGCATCAAATGAGGGCTTTTGCAGAAGAGTTACAAAGTTCTTTCACTTTGATGACTTCACTCCTGCTGAACAAAGTTCTTTCACTTTGATGACTTCACTTCTGCTGAACTCGCCCAAATTCTACACTTGAAAATGAATTTTCAGGAGCAAAATAGCTCACTTTATGGCTTCAAGCTTCATCCTTTCTGTACCATAGAAGCAGTGGCTGCTCTTATCCTCAATGGAACGACTGATAAGCAGCGGAAGGAGATGAATGGGGGTTTGATTGATCCATTACTCACTAATGCACGTGAGAATCTGGATCTGAGGCTGGATTTTGACTGCTTTGATTCTGACAGTCTCGTTACAATAACCATGGAAGATTTGGAAGAAGGTCTTAGAACATTATGTAGGTGAAAGAAATTCCGATTAGATTAGAATCATATTCTTTTTATGGTGAAAGTTTGTTGAGCATGCAAATACAGGTATTTATTTAATCATTCTTTGTGATATCTTTTGGAAGCTTCCTTTTACATGTTGCATTAATAAATTGTTCAAATTTAGCTGGAACTGCAGTTAAGCATAATTAATTTATATAAAGTTTCTCTTTTTTGTTGTCAATGTTATGGGATTCATAATAGATCTCTCTCTCTCTCTCTCTCTCTCTCTCTGTAGAATATACACTATAACGATGTAGAATATAACATAGATATAATGGAATAGGATCCAGTAGTTATAACAGGTGATAATTGAAAGCATTCTATAGAAAATTCAGATCCCAAACCACCATAGCTAGGGAACAGCGTGGCGAGGAAATAAAATATTTCTCTTTAGCACTTTATGCACGCATGTATGTAGCTGTAACGCATGGAGATTGCGTGTTGGATCTTTGTACTTGCCACGACCTGCTAATAGGGCATTTACATACTTACCACCCGATTCCTATGTATGTACATCATCTATCACCTAAATTTTGCTTTTTCTATCTTTATCATCCAAATATTTCATATCACATAAAAAATATCATCTTTTTAACTTTTAAAAAATGTAATGCATATTTTCTCGCCTAATGTAAGGTGGTGTTAGGTGTTCATTATGTAAATACATAGGAATTGAGTGGTATGTGCGTAAATCTTCCTATTTTTATTGAAATTATGTTTCAAAACATTTATTCCCATGAAACAGCTATAAAAAGTTGGGGCTTTTGATTTGAGTTATAGTAATTACAGAGCCGTTTCTATAAGATAAACGGTTAGAACAGATCTTACTGCAACTTCTGTTTTCAGAAAGCTTGAGTTCTAGGGAAAATAACCACAGTACTAAAGCGAAGATGGTTGATAAGAGAAATAAAAATGGAACATTCGAAAGAGATTAGATTTCAAACAAAAAGTCATGTCTTAATTGAAGTTTCAGTGGAGCATGACTCTGTCCGAGTTCTGTTGGGAGTTCCCATTTTTAGCAGCAATTTCCAAAACAGTAGTTTCTTCTGGGAATGTTTAGTTGGAAATTCCAACAAATGCAAATTTTTCCTATTTTTTACACTAACTATTTTCAAAATTTATGAATTCAGAAATTTGCTGAACTTTTATTTTATGATAAGGTGGAGATCAAAGTGGGGTTTACTGAATTTATGAAATGTATGGTGAGAAAGATAATATTATGGAAATATATTGACCCAAAAGTTGAAATTCATAAATTTGAGTCCTAAATGTTTGTGCTCCTCTAAACTCCACCATATAGCACATGAACATATCATCTTATGTTGTACATCTTAATGGATTTGTTCTACAATTAAGGGCACAATCCGTTGGAATTATTACGACTAGTCATTCCCATTTAAATATGTGAATACATGTCTTAATCATTTACTTAGAATTTATTGTCAAATTTGTTGTAATATGTTCTTTTAATTAAGTATATTTTTGTTTTTCTTTACTTCGATCATTTTGTTCCATTATATATATATCTATCTATATCTATACATAATATATTATATAGATATCTATATTATATATATATCTAGATCTTTCTATATATGTATATATGTATATGGATCTATCTATGTATCTATATATATGTATATGTCTCTATAGATTTATATATCTATATATATCCATGTATATCTATATATATATATATATATATATCTATATATATCTATCTATATCTATACATATGTATCTCTCTATATCTATACATATATATGTATATATGCATATGTATGTGTATGTATGTATGTATGTATGTATGTATATATATATATATATATATTCATATGCAATATCTGCTACTAATAATCTTGTAGAATGCTTCATGTATTACAGAAGGTATGTTTCACTATTTGGGCTTCTTGGATTACTATTAAAAAATAAAAGAAAGAAAGCCAAAAATGCAAAATAATTGCTGAGGAAGATCTCTCCAATTTACATTACTTTCCAGAAAATTGATCATGACTTTGGCGCTTAGCACCTTTCAAAAATCTTGTAGAGCTTATCAAAACCTGAACAAATGTTCCATTTGTGGCCATTGCATTTGGTGGCTTGAGGAAAAGCCTCATGGATGGGAACAAAGCATGCTGAATAGTCCACTCCCGTTGTGCCCATGTTGTTTCAGCTTCGGCAGGCAACTCTCCGTCCATATCGGTATCTGAATCGTCCTCAGGCATTGTTGATGCATTTGCCACATTTGTGCCTAGATCATTTTTACTATTCTTGTAGAATTGTATTCCATTGCCAGAAGGATTCAGAAGGACAGAAGGTTGCATAGCATAAAAGCTCCCTATATCAGCTGCAATTGTTTGGAAGTAGTCTTTCTCATTGGTGTGGATAACATCATTACCCAAATTCAACAAAAACTCTGGAACATGGTCCATGTCAAGAGTGTGTTGATCCAGTACAACAGGAAGCCTTGTCAGGTTCTGTTGTTCATCTATGTGAATAGAAAAGTACTCATCGAGCAATTCAGCTTTTTCAATAGTAGATCAGCATTCATCCTAGCAATCTTTTTTCTAAAATCATCATTTTCATCACTGGTAGAATCTAAATCTTCATCTTTCATAGGGGTTGGTTCACTATGTTGCATAGCATTAAAATTTCCAAATCTGCGTATGACTTGTTGATACATAAGCTCTTTGCTGACATTAACAACATTCACAAGGTAAAGATGAGTATTGTGTTGAAGTAATGCAAAACTTTCATCAGCAAGCCCCACATATATGCAATTTTTTACAATGTCATGGAGACCAGGATGAACATTAGAATCAATTTCTCAAACAAGCTCCTAGATGCTGGTTAAATCTAAAGCTTCTTTAGGATTCCTTCTCAGTCCTATAACATTCCTCGCTGAAGCAAGGTCAAGTTTTTTTTTTCATTTTGTGAGCCAGGCTTATCTTGCAAGTAGGCATGCATCCTACCAGAAGGATCACGCCAATCTGTTCTAACCATCTTATTAACTGGAACTTTTTGAGACTTCATCACACTAGAGAAATTCTCCTGGGTGTCTTTTTTCATACCCAAATGAGTCATTACAGTGGAAGTTATTGTCTTCGTATGAAATGTTCTTGTTTTGTTAGAGGACATCAATTTTGATTCAACAACATCTTAAATGGTGTTAACAATACTCTCTCGATTCAAAAAGCTTACCTCTCTCTTTGTAGGATGTACATTAACATTTACATGCTCAAGCGAGAGCCTAATAGACATAAAAAGGAAAGGCTTGGATGCCTTTGGCAGTGTTGCAGAATACGCCACCACGATAGCTCTCTTAAGGGGAGTGCATTCCACCAACCTGTCATTGATGAATAGAATCATTGTTGTCTTCTTAGTCACATAATTGGCACTGGAAATATAACCATCCATCTCAAAGACTGATTAAGTAGGATTGTTGTCCGAAGTGTCTATCTCCATCAGTTCACGGGCAATAGATATACCATACACTACTTTAATAGAATCAAGCCTTGAAGCATAACTCACACCACTCACATCCTCCTTACTTGCACCATGCTTTCTGCAGGTAAAGCTGACATTAGTATGATAAATTGCAAACCTACTTATAAGGTCAACAATTTTAGGATAATCATCACTGGCATTTTGTAATGTTTTTCTACGAGCAACCTTATTTTAAAAAAATAATTTCCACCATGGTTTGAGTCCCTTTCATAGCAGCACAAGGCTTGGGCTCATGCTCCATCACTCCATCTCTATAAGATACTCTATAACCATGTAGTTGGCCATCAGTTATAGTTGTCAAAGTGACATGGCCATCATATGTCATGCTCGCTAACTCTTCACCTATGAAACCCATCGATTTGGTAGTTTGTAGGTCTTCAAATGATGCAAGTTTTGATGTTGAATGCCTTTCGCATAATATGGCCAAGTCTTCATACCAAATGTCGAGACTAGTACACCCCTTATTATATATATA